TAGCAAGCCCGCCCACATGCACCGAGAAACGCCAGGGGCCCACACTCGGTACTCCGGAGAGTCGCCCCGACCCTTTACACGTCATCGATATTGTCCGCTTTGGGCCACGCCCGTACGGATTTGTTCTTCCCAGTGGGTCACCCATCCTAGAACTACTCCAGCCTAAGCACGCTTAACTGGGGAGTTCTAATAGGGATTTCACCACTTGGGAAAAGGCCTCGATGCTATATAAGGGTCCAGGTTTTTACTTTTATAGCCCAGGAACTCCCCCTCCATTCTCGATGTGGGACACCGGGGCCTTACATTCAAGGCATAGAACCTCAACACAATTGCTTGATCATTGTGTTGTTTGGTGAGATTTTGCTTAAGGCTCTGGCAATCTAAGCTTAACAAAAATTTTACTAACAATTTTTGCCACGCCTAGTGAGACATCGTCCTAACTTGGAGAAAAAAAATGATACAAATTAAATATCAAGAAATTATGTCATCAAGTGGCATGTTTGCATCTTGTGCACCAATGAGTGCAAATTACCAATGGAGTGACAATGTTCAAATGGGTATGAATTATTATTAGAATGCCTCATCTTTCGTGTATAATGATTGTCAATATTATGACAATGATACTACCGTCTATTGCCAACATAATGGTATGACAAATGATATGAAAAGAATAATTCGGCGTTATGAGGATGAAATTTATTGGCGCAAGAGTGAAATTTTGGCTCTACAAGAAGAAATCAATTCTATTGATTGGCAAAATTTTCAAATAATTTCATCACCGCCATATTATTTGATGCAAAAAGATATAAATTACTTTGATGAAAAAACTCGTCAACTTAGTTGTCAATTTTATCAAGTTGATGGAGAAATTCAACATTGGAGTAAAAAATTAGAGAATGTTAAAAAGAACAAATTTTATGTGTTTCTAAGAGGCTTTTTCAGCAAAACTCTCTCCACAAAAATCATGGCCAAGGAAAAATTAAGTTTTGAAAATGGCATGCCTGGGGGGCAATTTTTTTAAGCCATTAATTGAAAAAGAATACCAATTTCTTTTGCCAAAAGCTATTGAGCATTCTAATCCAATTGGAGGATATGGTTTTAAGTCAAATTTGATAAAGAATGTTGAACAACGGTTACAAAATGATGGTGAACATTCAATTAGAGAGTATAATTTTAAGCCAAACATGACTAAATTTGATGAACAACCATCACAAATTGATTATGAAAATCCAATTAGAGGGCATGGTTTTAAGCCAAATATAGCTAAATTTGATATAAAAAAAAATCACAAAATGAAAGTGAAAATCCAATTAGGGGGTATGATTTTGAGCCAAACATGGCTAAAAATTAAGAACAACTCACATTTGATGATTTTGAATTTTTCGATATTGTTAATTTTGTCAAAAATTTTAATTTTCTAAAGTCAATTGACATTATAATTTCTGTCATCCATCAATTATAATGGCTTTGTGGTTTACATCAAAAATTGATTTTGATAAAATGGTATACAAAAGAAATTCTGAATTTTATTTGTATTTTTTATATAACAGTAATGGGGGAGTATTTCGATGTGGTCACAACAAACAAAAAATTATATATATATATATGGCTAATCGATTATAATTTTCATAGTTTCTATTATATATTTATATTCATACAACTCTTAAAGAATTCGAATACTCATTCTTAAAAAGTTATGGGGTATTGTTTGTACCATAAATAAAATTTCTATCAATTATAACTGGGTTTAAACTTTCTATTACTTATTATTATTATTATTATTATTATTATTATTATTATTGTTATTATTATAATTATGCACGAAAATCTTAAAAGTTAAGAGAAATTAAGTCAAATTTTGAAAATTCAAGGGATAGAGGACAAGTGGCAATGTAAGAAGGTGGAAGTTATATGGGTGGTTAGATGATGGTTAATAGAAGTTTTTTCCTACATTTTTTTTTTTTTTTTGGGTATAAATTGTCATTGATGGCTCTATTGTAAAGGTGACCAACAAATCAATACATGACTTGATTTTTATTTTTTTTCTATCTTAAGAGTAGATCTAATCTACATAGGAGTAGTTTAAACTTAGATAGGAGTAGTCTTAATGTACTTTACTTGTATTTGATTATTTATTCAATTATTTACATCATCATCATCTTCTTCTTTTTCTCATTTTTCTTGTTTGTTTGGTTATTATTTTTACCCCAAGGAAGTACTTGAACTTTCAAGGCATAGAACCTCAACACAATTGCTTGATCATTGTACTGTTTGGTTGGATTTTGGTTAAAGCTCTGTCGATCTAAGACTAACAAAAATTTTACTAACAGGTCCTTAATTTTTCAATTGTGATACATTTAACTCTGAATTTTGAATTTCGTTCAAAATAAGGGCAATTGAAGACACTGTTGCTTCATTTCAAGGGCAAAGTCGTCAATTTGATAAAATAGAAACTAGTTTGACAAAAAAAATATCAAAAAAATATTTTTATATTATTTCTACTTATCAAAGATAAAATTATATAAAAATGATGAATCTTTTACATTTTTATTTTTATTTTTTTACTAAATTAATTTTTAGTATGTGTTTGGATGATGATCATGTAATGGATAGTTGTTTTTGTTAATATTTTTAGTTGGTTATCATGCAATAGATGATTGTATTTGTTGTTAACAAATATTTTTGGATGGTTATCATGTAATAGATTATTATTAGACTTTTAATGTGTAATCGATATGTTTAATATATGAAATATTTTTAATTTTGGATTTTTTTATTTAATGGATTGGTTTAATAATGATATCAAAATTGTTGCCATATTTGACTTTTGAAAAAATAGAAACTAATTTACTAAAAATAAATATAAAAAAAATTATTTTAAAAAATTATTTCTACCATCCTAAAGATAAAATTATATAAAAATGTTGTATTTTTAAATTTTTGTCACCAATTTAATTTTTAGTGTCTTAATTTTTTTTTTCCTGAAAATAGATTCTGAAAACTAAACCAAACATAACTTTATAACCAATAAAGTTTCAATATTATTCATTAAAAAATAAAATAAAATTTCATTACGTTTTAAACAGCATACAAGTTAACCAACACAAAATAAGTTACATAACGATTTTACTCTTAAAATAGACCATTTTGCAAAGGATATATCTTTGATTATCCTTATTTGGAATAAGATTCAAAATTCATGGTCAAATAGATCACAATTAAAAAATCAGGGACTAAAGTGACAAAAAAACCAAAACTAAAGAGACTGTTAGTGTAATTTGCCTAATAAGCAATCGAATTTTTTTATTAATAAAAAAATTATATTTATTAGATCAATTTAATATTTTTTATGAGGAGAATTCTATAGTATACATCTCATACTATATTTACTTTTAGTTATGTTATTTTCTTTTTTAATTATGATCAGTTTTCTTATTTAATTATGACATTATTTTGAGATGTTTGATTATATCTCATGTAGTGTTTGGTTTTATGACTTTTTTTTTTTAGTTAGGACTCAGAAAATAGTATACTATTTTCTTCTTTAGTTATTGAAAAATGCTAGAGACTCCGTTTGATTAGAAAGAAAATTCTTAGTAGAAAATGAAAGTAAAAGAAAATGAAGTGAAAGAAAAGAAATAGAAAAGAAAAATATTTTCTTACAAGCATTTAATTAAAATAAAAATTTTGTAAGAAAAAGATAGAAAAATATAGAAGTTTAGTTATAGATAATTTACACATTTGAATTTTTCTTGTATTTTTTTTTTTTTGGGTAAGAAATAAAAAATTAGTTGCAATACTAAAATGGGTTCTACAAGAAAATTAACTTTCTTTTATTTTCCATCACTTTTAAACTAAACAAACTCATAAAAGTTAAATTTTTTCTATTTCTTTTAGTTTCTACTTATTTCATTTTAAACTAACTGAGCCTAAGAGCATCTCCAACCCATCCTCCATATCTTCAAATATGGAGGATCCTCTCCAAAAAACAACTCCAACCCATCCTTTATATCCCCCTCTATTTGGGAGGAGGATGAATTGATCCTCCAAATATAGAGGGAGGATGAAAAAATGGAGGAGACTCTAAAATACTATTCACTCTATATTTCTTAATTATATTCGAAATAACTTTTAATGTGTAAATTTAATTTTTATAAAAATGACATCAACAAAAAGTATAAAATCATACCTTTAAAATGAGTATAATATTAAATATGTTTTACAAAAATTTTAAAATTAAATATTTATTAATAAACAAAAATTACTTTTTGATTGGAGTTTAAATGAAGGAAATGAAGGTTTGTGGTTGGAGTTTGAATGAATAGTGACATCCTCTATATTTACTTTTTGAATAAAAAATATTATTTCCATCCTCTTGAGAAGAGGATGTGGTTGGAGATGCTCTAAAAAAACTCTCAATTTTTTTACCACTCACTCACATAGAGTGGGACCCATATGAGTGTGGACCCCACACCCATGCAAATATTTGATAAAAAATTTAATAATTTTCTTAATATCTCTAACATTGCCCTTAATTATAAAATATATATGATATACATCATTTGAGAAGTTTGTACATAATTTTTCCCTTTTTACAAATGGCATGAACAGAGTTCCACAAATAAAAAATTTAAATTATCAAAAGAACCTTGTAAACACTTTAAATTCACTTAAATTCATATTTAAATTCGACTCAAATACAAATTGAGAATTTGAGAGAAAGTGAACCATATCGGTCCACCCCAGTACCCCATTCGCATGCTAATGAACAGAAAATTGCAATTCAGTGAGATTTCTCAATATATTTACAAATTTATAATTTTAATTATGAAAAATTGATAAAATTTCACTAATTTAAACATATATATTTTAAAGTGGAATTGCAATTCTCCTGTTAATGAATGTATCTAGAGAGAGACAGAAAACCGCCAGCTGCCGCTCTGCTCCATATGCTTTCCCTGCACCACCACAAAATACTCTCTCTCTCTCTCTCTCTCTCTCTCTCTCTCTCCCTCTTCCCTCTCCCTCTCACTCACTCACTCACTCACTCACATCAGTTTCAGACCCTAACTCTCTCTCTCTCTCTCTCTCTCTCTCTCTCTCAACATGTAGCTTCGGAAGCTTTCTCTTCAAATCGCATGGCGCAACTTCCTCTTCCACAGCTTTCTCTACGAAAATGAACTCCGTCTCTTGAGCTGAAAATCTGTTATCAAAAAATGGCGATACTACTAAATTCTTCACTTCATTTCAAGCTTCATTTTTGCCTTCTGAATACACAAACAGACATACATATATAGATATGTGGTGATGCTTGCTACTAGTTTGAAGCGTTTCGTCTTTCGAATCTGTGTGACTATGTATGAACTCACACTCCATTTCACTTCGTTGTGCTGATTTAGGATGCGCTGGTTCGAATACACGATCGCTGAAATGTAGTATTGAATCGAGGTAATATTTGAGGCTCTAAAACTCTGAATGCACAATTTTGGGGCTGAGATTTGATGATTCTGTTAAGTACTAGTTGTTTTGATCCATGAAAAAGTTTCACTGCTTTAAGCAAATCTCCAACAATGGCAAACTCGAGAGACGCCTCTCTCTCGGAGAATACGAGCGAGCCGTGTCGTGGTCCAAGTACTTGGTGTCGTCTGGTGCAGAGATTAAAGGAGAGGGAGAGGAGGAATGGAGCGCAGACATGTCTCAGCTCTTTATAGGCAATAAATTTGCTACTGGAAAGCATAGTAGGATCTATAGAGGGATATATAAGCATAGAGATGTGGCAATTAAGCTCATAAGTCAACCTCAGGAGGATGGACACTTGGCTGCTCTTCTGGAGAAGCAATTCAGTTCAGAGGTCTCTTTGCTGTTTCGATTGCAGCATCCTAATATCATCACTGTAAGTTGTTTATTTTTTGGTGTTAAAATTTTTTAAGCCGTTTTGCTCTGTCAAGATTATATGCTTAGTTAAATTAAAACACCCTAGTCCTTACTCGCATATTCTTATTAGTATTCATGTTCATAAGGGATCTTACAGGGTTTTAACGTTTTGAAAATAATATAAAAGCCCACTTTCTAGGCTCAGTGATGTGTAAAAAAAATGATTGACCGATGATTGGAGAAAACATGAGAGTTGTCTTAGAAATTCATTCTAATAGACCACCTAGTGATTCTAATTTTTTGGTTTGTGTACCACTACTCTTTACGTATTGCTTAGCAAGATTTTTGTGGGATTTTTATATGCAGGGTACCTATCACACAACCCTCTCCTTATCCAAACATGGGACTGGCTATATAAAAGATTAAACACTAAGCACGACACCGGTGGAGTTTGTTTACCTACATAATTACAATTCAAAAGTTCCATGGAATTAGATCTTTCCATTATTTCCCTTCTTGTGGCATTAGAATGAAAGTGTTATATATTCAACTAACTTTCTGATAAATTTGTAACATATTCTGAAATTTCCTTTTGGGCTAAGCTGGAATAACATATTCACAAGAAGCAAGAATTCTGCTTTTCATTGATGAGCTTCTAATTTGGGGACCACACACTTTTGCTTAGTAAGACATGCCTTCTTTTACTTGAGCAATTCAATTAGGAGAGTGTTTTCTCAGTGACGTGCATGGACATTAGTCAGGTCTTGTTTCTTATGCCCATGGATTCACATTACCTGTGTGCATCATTTACTTTTTAAGCTGTAGACCTCTCTTCCCAATGAAGGTTCCCCCTGGCAGTGGGACCAAATAGTATCACTAGCAGTGATTAGTGATTATTTCTTAACTTGGCTTGCAAACTGGTAAGAATATCGTTCTTCTGGTTTGCACATCCTAACTTCTATTTTCTTATCTAATATCCTTAGACATTTTTTTATTACCAGGTTATCAGGGTTGGTGCACAGAATTTATTTATTTATTTTGGGCTTTGTGTGTGGGTGGATGTGGGCTGGTGAAGGATAAATTTGTAAAATACAATGGTAATACTTGCTTCCAATGATGTTTTTTTTGTGGGTGGATACGTGGGTTAGTAAAGGATAAATTTTGCAATATATTAAAGTAATACTTGGTTCCGATGATGCAAGAGGAAACAAGAAATCCATTGAATTGGATTTAATAGTTTTATATATTCAATGGGATGTAGTGGAGAATCCTGTTACAACTTACAGCTAGGTTGTGTGTTCTGTTCAGATAAAGATTACTAATTTTCATCTTGAATCTGGCTAAGGTTCAATCTAAAGAATCATAATTTTATATGCTCAATTTTCCTTCAATGGCTATTAGTTATGGGCCCACCGAAGATATTGTAAAAGAACATCAAATTTTAATGCATTTTTGTCTCAGAACTTTTTCCTGTTAGCACTTCCAATTTTACGAGGCTCCTTCCTTCATGCATTCACACTTGCACACAAAATCCTCTTGGCGATGCTGATGATGCTTGCACAGTTGGTGGATCAACTAGTCAGCTGCCTTCTATTTTGAGTTCATAATAATTAAATTTTCAAGCTGAACTTTCCTATTTGATCATTTTATGTGACCCCTGTATTTCTCCACTTCATTCATGCAGTTTGTTGCAGCATGTAAAAAACCCCCCGTGTTTTGTATCATCACTGAGTATTTGGCTGTGGGCTCTCTCAGAAAATACCTTCATCAACAGGAGCCTTATTCACTTCCTCTCAACCTAGTTCTGAAGTTGGCCCTCGACATTGCACGTGGGATGCAATATCTTCACTCTCTGGGGATACTTCACAGGGATCTTAAATCAGAGAATTTATTGCTTGGGGAAGATATGTGTGTGAAGGTAGCAGATTTTGGAATCTCATGCTTGGAGTCTCAATGCGGCAGTGCAAAGGGATTCACGAGCACTTACCGTTGGATGGCACCAGAAATGATCAAAGAAAAGCACCATACAAAGAAAGTTGACGTTTATAGTTTTGGCATAGTCCTCTGGGAGCTTTTAACTGCGTTGACGCCATTTGACAATATGACTCCTGAACAGGCTGCCTTTGCGGTCTGCCAGAAGGTACTTTCCTTTAACTGTGGTGTTTCATTTTACGATTATTTTCTTACAGGAAGCCTGCTCTTACATGTATGTCTCACACCGTGTTGAATACATTTTTATGCAATCCCATCAATGTGATACACCATTCCTTTTTCTCATGTCTTGGACAGATTGCATTTAATTATTATAATTTCTTCTTTGTGACAAGAAGCTTGATCATAAAAACCTTTAAGAACAGATAACATATCTCTGTTGTTCGATGATGATCTAAGATTAGTTGAATTCAGGCTTAGTGGAGGTTATTTTTTAAGTTGGCTGGAGTTGAGATATATTAGACAGTGCTTGGTGGATATAATTTTTTTGGCTCCTCATCTTGTGAAAGTTTGTACTCAATTCTCAAAACATTGAGTCACATGCATACAGGTTAAGAGACTAAACTGTCAACCATAGAAGTGTTACATGACAAGGGAATTGGTTCTTACATGGTTGAATTTGTGGCAAGCCAAAAGTTGACACATAAGTTGTCATGTCATTGTGGGTAAAATTAGGGGAAACTCTTTAGGGGTCCCAATCTTTTTTCAAAAAGAAAATAAAATGAATAATACGAAGGCAAAGGTTTTTTTTTTTTTTTTTTTTTGGGGGGGGGGGGGGGGTTTAGAAACTATATAACTTTCTGTAATAAAAATTTATGGGGTCAATCAGATGGCTGAATGTGATACTGTCAAGAGCACAGTGGTCTTGCTGATAAACTAATAATGGTTCTCATATGCTACAAACAAATTCTCAGGCACTGCTTTAGCGTCAGATGATACTTAAGCCTCGTTCTTGCACTAATCACTCATATTGGTGATGAAACATATTGTCTATCAATTTATACAGGTCTCAGTTGGTGTTGCTTCCACCTCCATTCCTCATCTCTTCAACTCAAAATCCAGTTTTGTATACCTCTTGTCAAAGATCTTTAGAACTTCAAGCTGGGGAACTTCTATTTTTATGATTTGTCTCAGTGACCCAATAAATTTTATGTTTGGATCTTGTGCAGAATGCTAGACCACCATTGCCATCCACATGCCCTGTGGCTTTTAGACGTCTCATCAACCGATGCTGGTCAAGTAATCCCAATAAGCGTCCCCATTTTGAGGAGATAGTTAATATTCTCGAAGTTTATGCAGCCTCTATTGAGCAGGATCCAGAATTCTTTTTATCCTACAGCCCTTCCAATGATCATATTCTTTTTCCATGCCTGCCAAAGTGCATTGCGGCTTCTTTAGGAGTTTAAGAACTCTTCTGGAATTGTGTGTAACGCTAATTGTATCATATTGCTCTTTTCTTGCCTAGGTATATCACTGTTCTGTTGTGATTATAAGCTTTTTCATGTACCCTCTCTCTCTCTCTCTCTCTCTCTCTTGGGTGCAATATGCAAGAACATAGACAGTTTGGTTGATATCCTCTAATTTATGTAGGATCCTAAGGTTTGGAATTTCTGTTCAAAACAAAAAAAAAACATGACAAACTTGTGCATATACGAAGTGCGTACAAAATGTGTATAGTTTATGAATAAAAAAGATGAATGTAGAAACTGTCCATGATTAGAAGCCATTAGCATTTTTCAGTTTTCAAACTCATCAATTGTGACGTGCATTTTTGGGAAAGAAAAAATGAGTGACTAAGTTTTGAAAAGTCTTTATACATTTTGAGTTGTGTATTTTATAGTATAATATAGACAATACATATACGAGATTTGTGTGATTTTCTAATTACGTAGAATTATGATTGATGGTTTAGTGATTTTTTGTCCTTTACTAATCAAAATCTACACAATTCAGAGTGACTAAGTTTTGAAAAGTCTTTATACATACGGAGTTGGGTATTTTATAGTATAATATAGACAATACATATATGAGATTTGCGCGATTTTCTAATTACGTAGAATTATGATTGATGGTTTAGTGATTTTTTGTCCTTTACTAATCAAAATCCACACAATTCAATGATGATGTTGGGCCTGTTTGGTAAGGTTTATTTCCAACTTATTTCAGTTTTTAGTTTAATTTAAGCTATTTTGATGTATTTGGTTCAGTTTAACAATATAGTTTATAACTTTTTGTAAGTTAAAAATCAACTTATTCTTTGAGTGGGGGAGGAGAAGTTTAATTTATAAATCAAAAATCAGTTTATGTTCACAGCTGTAAGCTATAAGCTGGTAGGGTATAAGTTATAATTATTTTTTCATAGCTTTACCAAACAGAACCGTTATCTGAAAGTGTTATTGACCAGCTGAATTGTTCTTTTACATTAACGTTTGATTGGGAAGGCAATGACATTGATGGTTAAAATTAACCAAAAACAATGTTCAACGAGCCGGATGGATTGAGACTAATCTGAGGTAGAGTATCAATTAAAATCATTATTTTATGCGTTCTACGTAACACGACAGTTTGGCCGAGTGGTCTAAGGCGCCAGATTTAGGCTCTGGTCCGAAAGGGCGTGGGTTCAAATCCCACAGCTGTCAATTTTTATTTTTTTTAATTTTGTTAAATTAACACATGTAATTATAAATAAAAACATTTGCACACAAATTTTAATTTATAAGCTTATATTTCATTAAGTCTTAACTAAGATTTTTTAAATTTTCAAGTCTTATTAAATTTTTAATAATCGAAATTGCTTTCTAAATAATGATTGTTCATCATTTATGATTATCTATAAAGAAACATGATGATTTGACATTTATTTTGATTTTTATTTTGTTATTATTTTTTTTTTTATTTTGTTATTCAAGTCTCAATTTTTTATTTTTTTTTATTTTGTTAAATTAACACATGTAATTATAAATAAAAACATTTACACACAAATTTTAATTTATAAACTAATATTTCATTAAGTCTTAACTAAGATTTTTTAAATTTTCAAGTCTCATTAAATTTTTAATAATCGAAATTGCTTTCTAAATAATGATTGTTCATCATTTATGATTATCTATAAAGAAACATGATGATTTGATATTTATTTTGATTTTTAAAACTTTAAAAATAAACTTTCAAATTGAAAAAAAAAAAATTATGTGCAAAAAAAAATTAATATTTTTTTTGAAAAAATTAAAAAACTGAAATTATTTTGTGTCTATAGGAATATGATGATGGAACATTGATGTACAAAATTGGAAAAAAAAAACTTTAAAAATGAAAATTTGGTAATGTTTTCAGTTTTAAAACTGAAAAAAAATTGATAATATTTTCGATTTTATTGGATAATTGAATCAAACCAACAAGTAGAAAAGTAAAAACATTTAATCTCGTATTCTATTTTTTTTTCATCAGTGAGTGAAACAATTATCTGAAATATTACTATGCAAAATTGAAAATGTTCTTAATTTTAAAAATTAGGAAAAATTGATAATATTTTCAATTTTACTACATATTCCTTATTAGTTCAAAAAATCTTAGACAGGACATGAACTACCATAACATTTATAAATAGGACTTTTAGGTAATTATATTTATTTATTTTCACAAATTAAAAGATCTTCATTAGTTATTGTAAATAAAGATTTTAAATTTGTTTAAAAAAACAATAAATTAAAAAATATAAACAATTTTTTTAAAATTTCTAAAATAGTGAAAATAGACAAATAATTCAAGACAGTGTGGGTATGTTTTAAAGCTTTTTTTATTAAATAGGCTTCGTTTGGGAACAAGGTTTTTTATGTAACTTTTTGATTTTTTGGCTAAAATGTGATATAAAAAAAACTAATATGTTTGGGATGACTTTTTGACTTTTATAAAAAGATATGCAAAAAGTAGACAGAAAATGAAATTTTTAACTTTTTTGTATAAGTTGTTGACTTTTTGATTTTTTTAGTAATCTTTTGACTTTTTGACTAAAAAAATCACTTGCCAAACGAGGCCTAAGTTACTAGCATGTTAACAAGTCAAAGAAGTTGGTAAAAAGTTAATTTTTTATCTTTTTTGGTGGCTTTTTTGCAAGAACTTGATAAAAAGTCAAAAAGCTAACTTTTTACCAAGCTTTCAAATTACTATATCCTGTTTGTGAGATGGGCATGTGCCTTTGAGATAACCCACTGGATGAACAAGGTTTGATCATATGACGATATAATTTTGAGTTGTTCATGTGGTTTAAGCGGTTAACAGAGGTGTTATGTGAGTAATTCTAATTAGCTGAGGTGTGAAAAGACCACATCTGAATTCAAGATATTCGAATGAAGGACTAGAGTCCTAAATGATGACAGACTTTCTGATTGGATAGATCATGACCCTAGATCATGACTCTTGAGAATGTTAATCCTATTCTAAATTGGAGAAGTTCTTGATAAGTGATATCCTGAAAAGGATAAGAGTCCTATGAGGTGAGACTTCTAAGGGACATGGGCACTGTCCATTATATAAGGTAGGCACTCTATGGGTTTAGGTATGTTTTACTTAAGAGTTAATTGTTAATCGATATCTTTGTGAGATTGTTGACTAATTTGACCGTCAGAATACCCTCGGGTGGACGAGCCACCGGTCTTGTTGTCTTTCTGTGTGTAGGTGTTGAGCTTCTCTATTTTTTTACATGTGCTCGACAGCTGAGTTCTCAAGATATCGGTGAAGAGATTCGATTTGGTTGCGAGGTCAAAATTTAGCACCCATAATTTGGCGTCGCCTGTGGAAACTTAGTCGAAATAGATAGCCAATATCGTGCAAGATCAAAGTGTCGGCGATGACGAGTTCAACAAAGTTGGAAAATGTGTCGACATTAACGAAAAACAAGAACAATGATATGCAAAATGCAGTGAACAATGAAAACCCTTCCAGAAGGGATAAATCTTCCAACAAGTTTTGCAACTGACAGGTAGGGAGATCGGATGTTGTAGGTCTTATCACCTCAATATGACTGAAGTAATAGGACCTATGGGTAGTTGTGGAGACATAATTTTAAATTGTCCATGTGGCCTAGATGGTTAGCTAAGGTGCCATGTGAGTGATTTTGATTGGTCGAGATGTGGTTAAACCACATCTGAATCCGAGATGTTCGGATGAGGGGTTAGAGTCCTAGACGATGACAGACTTTCTGTTTGGATAGATCCGGACTCTTGAGAGAGTTATTCTTATTCCAAATTAAAGGAGTCCTTGATAAATGATATCTTAGAAAAAGTAAGAGTCCTATGAAGTGAGATTTTTAGGGGACGAGGGTACTAATGATTATAAAAGGTAGACACTTTCGTGAGTTTAAGGTATGTTTTTACTTGTGATCAGTGTTTTTTTTTTATAAGTACTTGAGAGTTGATTATTATGAGATTTGTTGACTAACTTAATCATCGGAGTGCCCCCAAGTGGACGAGTCACCGGTCTTGTTGTCTTTCTATGTGTAGGTGTCGGGTTTCTCTATTTTTGCAAGTGCTCTATGACTAAATTCTCAAGATCTCAACGAGTAGATTTAATTTATTGTGAGGTCAACATTTAACACACATAGATCCTATGATGAATAAAGTGCCAAAATGGAAAGTAATAATTGAGGGGACAAAAAAAGGAAAATGAAAAAGCAAAAAATGGGGCTTAAATTTTGTATCAAAGAAGAAAGCTAAGTAAATTATTCATAAAAATAATTAAAAATATATATTTATAGATTATAATCGTTATGTAATTCACATCTTCTCAATTTTAGATCTCTACAATTCATCTCATTTTCGAGACAAGAATTCATGGTAAACAACATTTTCCAAGTACAAATCCTTGGCTTACATTTGCACTTCGGGTTGTAGTGTCACCTTACATTTATTCAATAATGTATAAATTTTTGTACCTTAGATAATCTCTAATAAAATGGTTAATTTATATGTTAAAAGTTAACTGACAAAGAATAATAAAAGTGAAACTTAAATTTTGTATTAAACATTTATTAATTTAAAGAGGGAATGAGTGGGCCAATTATACGCATTAAATAAATAATATGTATTTATATAAAGCGGTCTAACAATTTTTTTTCTTTTTTTCTCTCTAGCTCTTTTCATTCTTCATTTCTCCTTTATCTCTCATCTATTTCTTCATGAGAGAGAATTGGTCCTATCTCTCCTTTTTCTCTCTCGTGTGTTATAGTTTAGCAACGGTTTTAACATTTTTTAGACAAACTTATTAACATCACCGAAACATATTTTTAAATAATTAATTATTTAACTATAATTTTCTGACCCAAATAACTTTAATGAATGCACATGTCAATGCCAGACAACAACGTAATTTTATTACTTCCAGAGAATTTCAAAGATGAAGAAATTGCCAAATGAAAACTTACAAAGTCTTTATAAAAAATCAATATAACATTAAAAATTGTTTATAAATCTCATCAATATACTATGATTACTTCTAAAGTTTATAGTTGCTTCTTTGTAATCTTCTTTTTAGCTTTGTACTTTGCCATCATGGCATAAGGTTCTTGATGTCTGCT